ATGAAGAAGAAATATCCTGGACTTGCCGTGAATGGTAGAATAATATAGCATGGTCTTGTTAAATCCTAGCAGGATATTCTACTACGACTGAAGTGGGGTGGATCTTAAGCATTGTAATTCCTGACATTACTCTCAAAGAATGAGTATGTGGCTAGGCTAAATCCTAAAGGTCTTATGGGACTCACTGAATGAGAAATTCTAGAAGATATCCTACATTATGATTGCATAATGCCAGAAATATTGAAAATTGAATTTTCAAGCTATATGACCATATGAGATATAATGCTGCTCTATAAACAAATACAATAAGCTTGAAGCTTTGTGATTAAAAGTCATAGAAGATGAGATGGTAAATAAGACTTTGTCTAATTCCAGAAGAAATATTTCTTGAAATAGAAAGACCAAGAGCATTGAAGTACTAGAAGTATTCAAATTTATCATCCATAATTACTCAATATCAAGTAGAAATTGAGTTAGAATTTTTGGACAACATTATGAATCAGGATATATGACTTGCATACGTTGTACTCCTAGAAGGATCATGATTACATATCACAACTATGAAGTAGAGCATGCATGAAGCTGCTAAATGTCAAGCATAGAAGCTAAGACATGTAAGAATGGATAATAAGTAGAATATTTAAAGGTTCTCTTGAAGAAGAGCTTAGCCATGTGCTTATAGACTTGTATGTCTTTAAACTTACTATCTTGAAGTATTAGTAGTAGCGGTGATGGTGCTTTAAGTTTTAGTTCCCATTAAATTAAGTGGATTATGTAAACTCATAGAAGAGTTAATTGTTCCTTTATTAGCTTGAAGACTAATATAAAGCATTTATATATTCTTAGTTGCAATTCTTACTCGCAGTAATGTGTCAATTTTGCATGGAATAAATAAGTTTTATATGTTTTGCATATAAATAATTGTCTATTTTTGCCTATCTAAATAAGATTGCAATGATTTATCCACACAGAAGCCTCAATTAACCATGAAGGTTATAGTTCTTTGTGCACTACTACCATGTATGTAGAAGGGAAACTGGATTTCCTAGAAGCATATGAACAATTGGACTATACTAGCATATTAACTTATCTTGGAAGGATCGATTTAGCCAAGAAATAGTATAATCCTAAAACTAAGTATTTAATACGTTAGCCCAAAAACTAAAATTTTATGTTCTACCCTAAATATATAGTTGTACATTAAATAGTACACTATATATGTGAATTTCATGCCATAATAAATGAATACTAGAAGTATGATTGGATTCTTTGAAACATTAGGAATGATTATTCATAAATGATGCATGAAGCATATTACTACTTGAAGTAATTATGCCATGAAAAGGGGGAGCAATTTTGGGTAAAGGCATAACAAAATATGGGTAATATATATTAATAGGCATAGCCTTCCTAAATCTATCTTTAAGTGCATGTATCAGGACTTGAAGTCCTAGCCGCGTCATCTTCGGTCAAGTTAACTTTCTCTACATTACACGAATTGCAAGTAAGCTTATAGCTTTGCATTTTGTTGTTATCTATTACGTTGGATTGAAATAACAACATTTCACATTACACATGAATATATATCACTATGTTGTCCTCTCGTTGAGCTACAACTTCTCCACTCCTGCATGAGTATTAGCATAGAAGCTATATTCGTAGCTTGTAGCTACTACCTTTTCTCCTCATAATTAAATTGGCTAGCTAGCACGCTGGTTCTTGTTGAATTAAGAAATATTTTGCTTTCAACGCGTTGCATGCATAAGCAATACATTGGTCTATGGCAAAGTAGCCTAAGATCATGGGGAGTCGGTTAATCTGAAATTAGCTAAATGGAGAAGTGACCCAATTAATGGGATGAATAATTGTAGAATTAAGATGGTGGATAACACACTTAGTTGATTTGGGATTTTTGAAGAAAAGGCATTTCGGGAATTTTGTATTAATGGCAATTAGAAATTTCTAGAAGAAATTCCATGCGATTTTGAATGTTGTGTATTTTATACATTTAAAGTATATGGTCCATTTTTTTATGTATGAGTAATTGGATTGTTTTTTTTTGCTAAACAATAAAGAAACTAGACAATGAAATAGTTTTCTAAACTATGATATGTGCAAATCAGGGGGAGAACATCCCTAAGTTTATAGAAATGCTGAACATTCTTAAGTGCACTTTATGTATTCTAACTCGCTGCATTTAGTGAATAATAACCCCTGTGTTAAAATATGTGTGTGAATATTTCCCATAAAACTACATCATAGCATACATGAATGGGCCTCTACTTGTAGTTGGAGATACATGAATTTGAATTATTTTAAGCCCATGATAGGGGATATCTCTTGAAGTATGCTATTAAAGATTTAACATTGGCATTAGGGGAAGAGAAACCCTACGTTGAATGCCAAATATTATTTCCATAGAAGGAAAATGGTCTTAAGAGAAAAATATTCCTTGAAGCTTGAAGCAAGAATAGTATCACGCACTAAATCAAACAATAGTTTGACTAATGCTCTTGTGAAGCATGAAGCGGAGCATATGCCAGCTATTTTTGAAAATAAGAGGAGTAACTTGAAGTTATAAACTAGAAGTTGTGTTTACTAGTAGTAAACTAAATGTTGTATACTATCAAGCTAAAATCTACGGGGACGCTTGTGGATTCTAGTTTAGTATGTACTTGTTGGATAGAAATAAAATAAAACTCCTCCATTCTCATGAAGAGAACACCTCGTGAAGAAGGTTAAGAACCTCATAAAGAGGATCATCGTGAAGATGAAATCCAAAACACTAAGCGCGCGCATCATTAGTGTTGGGGTGTAAAACAATAAATTATCTCTTGTTTGGGAAGTGACAAAGACATAGAATAATCTCACATTATGAGAATATTGGGACAAAATAATAGTTGTCGACAACGCTACCTCTAAAATTGCAAATGTTTCTCTTATGAGAACCCGGATCTAGAAACAAAGTCCATGGCAAAGTCGCCTGTAGCGATTATATCAAGTCAATGAAGAAAGAAATTGAGGTTGAATCTCCTACTCAGAAAAAATAAATATTCTGCTATATATCTCTGGTAAATGAAATCAATGAATATTAAATATGCAGTTAATAAGTGGATTATGAAGATCCATATAGTTCCTAAAGAATATAAATCGCAACATATGGAAATTAAATCTCATACAAAGTATTAAGAAGTCTAAGATATAATATATTCCTCAATGAATATTGAAGTCTCAAGAAAGAGCATGTCCTAGAAGGAATAGTCATCGAATGACTTTGCAGTGAATAACACTATCTCAGTGTGTATATCACATAATAATCTCTCATGTAGTAGAGAATATATCTCATAGAAGAGAAATGTTATTCACTAAGAATGAGAACATCCTTGAAGGATTTAATCCATGAAGGATTTACCAGTCGATTCTTAAAAAGCATCATTAATTACTAAAGTGAATGTTGACCCGAGAAAAAAAGAAAATGAGGAATCCTAAATACCATGAAGGTGTCATACAAACACTCAGAAAGTGCATATTGAAAGGCTAGCAATTAAGTGATGATATCCTCTAAATACTATAGAAGGTATGAGAATATTGGTGATTTTGGCAATTGAATTATCCCCTAAGTGCCAAATGCAAGACTGGATTTATTATTTAGTGGTACAATCAAAATCTCAAAGATTTGTAGAATATATAATTTGAAATCCACTAAGGAAGAATTATCAGTATTCAAACTCTAGTATAAGTTTGATACACTATCTAGAAGATATTGAATATTAATTTATTTATCTCCATAATCCTCCGAAAGGATTTATTACCTTGAAGGGTAAAATTTATTTGTTTTGCACAACTAATAAGTGGTTATTATGCATGAAGCATATTGCTCTTGTTTATACCCATATAGTTCATAGAAGAATTATGAGCCAACTTTTTGAAAGATATAGTATTGGGCGCAGCATACCATTAATTAAGCACACATTTATGAAAAGTGTGGTTTGAACAATGAAGTTCAAATTTTGGCTTTATGAGGGGAGCATATTTTTATTGAATCTACATTGAAGGTAAACCACTAGAATTACAAAGATCAAGTAGATCATATTTGCTAAAACACTAAAGTTTATGCATAGATCATGAAGATCAACATATTCATGAAGAATAGAATATCCTGAAGAATACATGACCAAGAAGGTTAAATGTTGTACTCTTTTTTCCTATGTGAGTTTTTACTTGAAGGTTTCTCACACAAGGTTTTTAATGACACAATATGTGCAATGCAATTAACGAATGTGATGTACTCTTTTCTCCAAGAATCGTTTTCCCCACTGGGTTTTTAAATGGAGTTTTTAATGAGGCATGTGCATATCATGGTAATCGTTCAAGGGAGAGTGTTGTAAAACATACGGACTCTATCCTAGAAGGAAAAGAGAAGGAGGAATCCTGATCCTGGTCTGTTTGTATGTGGACTCTTACCAAAACTCTTAGGCCTTGACAGAACTATATATACATGGGAGCTCTATGTTGTAATCAACAATATTAAGAGAAATAAAGAATAGTCTCCCTATCTCTTGTGTCTATGTATTTTACTTTCATCTAATGTGTTGATCATGAGAGATGAAGAGGGAAAGGTCCTAACCGCTGGCAACATATTTTATAACACCTTCAACATATATATCATCCTTTCCTTAATCTCCTAACGTGTCCAACATGGACAGAGCAAACACTACTAACCTTTGCCTCGTCCTCCTCCTATAGTGGTGGATGACGAATTCATATCCAGCTGAGGCGTTTCATCGGTTACCAGGAAGAAGAATTGATTACTCTCATACCTGATTTTGCAGCGTAACCCTAATATTCTCCCACACACCCTCGCCTTCCTCTTGTCCATGAACAAAGCTGGCATCTGGTGGATGAGGCCCGTGAGGCACCACGGACAATGCACCGGCGTCAGGTCCTGCGTGCACTGCCCGAGCGCGAGCACGTTGGTCGCCTCCGACGGGAACCTGGCAATGGCCGTGCTGTATCTACTGGTCACGTTGCTGGCCACGACGGCCACCGTGTTTACGAGCCCCGTTAAAAGCAAAGCTAACGAACACGCCGATGTTCCCGCCGCCATCATCGTTTCATGTTCCATGCGACCACCGTGTGTAGGGGGCTGTGGGCAGAGTTGTTGTAGCTAGAGAGGAAGTCGCGGTCGAGAACTGAATGGCGGAGGGATGCTAGTTTTGAACAGCAAAGGGCGGATCCAAAATGGGGGCTCTAGCCCCCCCTAATATCTTGATTTCAAGCCTAATCATTGTAGCAAAAGCTTGATTTCACCATTAAATCTTCATGCAAATCAACATCTCCATTGTTTTAGCCCTCCCTTATTCCGCATCGTGCATCCGCCACTAGGAACAGGCACTGATCGTAGTACACCGCCGCATCTCTAGACAATTAATGGGTTCACTGGATGAGGCAAGGAAGGTGTCGATACGTAGAGTTGCTAAGTTTCGATTTCAGTCATCAATTTCAGATCCTTCCATGGTTCAACAATATAACAACTCCGTGACGTTATGAACTTGTCCACTTATTTGCATATAATTACTATTTGCATCGAGCTCGTTGTTTAGGCAGTTACATATATTAATGTTCGTTTTATGTTACGCTTCCCGGTCATAATCGACCGTTCCGTTAAAGAAATATTCACATTCCCGATATCCCGTAATACGGGTTTCGTTTTCTCGTCCGGGCTTCCCGTAATACCGGTTTCGTTTTCTCATCCGGGCTTTCCGTTCTTGCTTCCGTTCTCGAAAAAAAAATACAAGATCGGAATGGTTAAGACATTTTGCCGACCGTTTACGACCGTTTTCGTCCCTACTTCGCCCCCCCTGTTTGCTCTGCCGCCTACCGCTCGTTCCCCTTCGTCGCCGTCACCTGCGCTACGATCCCTAGATCGGTGTAGTTGCTCTTGCGTCCCCATTCGATGCCCCAAATGGAGATCGGATCATCAGATCAGTCGCTCTCTTCGATTTTCCCTAGCTGGGTGGTCGTAGACCAGATATCTGCTGCCGGCGTTTGCCTCCCTTCCGCCCCGGCGACCCTACCTCCGCGAAGACCTACGCCAGCAACGGTGAGGTCGTCCGCGTCTCTTTCACCCTGCGCCCACTGCCGGGTGCCTCCCGCCTCTGCGTCCACTTGCCGAAGGGTCGCAAGCTGTCCGGCTTCGACAGCGTCGTGGCGGCGCACGGCAACGCCGTACTTTTCCGTCTCGAGATCGACTTCAACGGACTCCCCTCATCGTGCTCCACGGTCGACCATTTAATCTACTGGGCCAGCCCTTGCGGTCCTAGGATCTCACTGCTCCCACGTTGGTACTCGACCGAGGATGAGATAGAGGCAGCTGAGGTGGGCTCCTGGAGGAGGAACCCATGGATGGCTCTAGGCCGCAGAGGCACTGGATTTCTTATTTGTGATAGAGAAGATTTCGTGGTGGCGGAGCTCCATCTCGATGTGGACAGGCTTGAAGACGTGGATGCATCTCTGGAAGCACAGCTCTTCAGGCTCTGCTCGAGCAGGGAAAGAATTGCTGCAGGTGGTGGCGAGTGGGAGGTTAAGCACACAAGGGCCCGTGGGGGTAAGGCAAAGTTTGGTGACTTACTCTGCTGGTGGGAAGCTAGCATGGTTATCCCTTACGGCAGTTACCTTGTGTTGGGTTGATTACTCAAGGGGTGTCATTTTCTGTGACGTTAATCATCCTTCCCCTGACCTCCAGCACGTCTCCTTGCCGGTGGATCACCGCGTTTGTCTTGGTTTAAGGCATAAAGTCGTGGTCGAAAATCATCTTTAGGCTGGTTTGGTGTGAGAGAGAAGAATACATTACGTTGGGCGATAGCCGTCAGCCCGTAAATCTGTTGCAGTGGGTTGCACATTCCTTTTGGCTATCTGACCCATTAGCAGAGGATGGCCGCAGGCGTCCCAGGCTGTGTACGTTACCAAGAATGAAACATTGAAGTTTGTCTGCCCGCAGCGATGGCATGTTATCTGGCGAGAGTGAGCCTGGTTCCAGTTTCACAATCACCATCTCGACGCTGCACGGTGACTACGATGATATGCGGTGGGTGACAGATCCACAATTCAAACTGCTAACCTCTGGGATATGGAGGGTTATGATGATCAGCTTCCACGCGTTGTGCCGCAATTCCGTCTGGTGAGCATGGATGATCCCAACATCATATATTTTGTATTGAAGGAGGCGCACGGTTTCTAGTGCAAAGGCATGGGTGGTTGCTCTGAACATAGATAGCAGCATGGTTTTTTATGGTACAAGGATATCAAAAGCCATCCCTTCTATGAGGACACAGAAAGGCTTTGGTTCCTACAGCAGGAGATAAAATTAATACTATTGAATCCAAACTAGCGTGGCTTGTTTGCAAATTATATATATCGCTAATAATATATCTGGATGATACATTTCGATACGTATTTTGATGGCACACACGCAGATTGAGTTGACTCCAGATTCCTTCACGTCGACGAGGATGGCGTCACGTCCCCGTGGGCCCTGGGCCGTGGGCCGCGGGTTGTGGCAGCATGTGCGCAATGATCTCACCTTGCCCTCGCGCTTCGCATGCAGCAGCGATAGAGATGGATCTGGACTATTGACTAGACTAGAGGAGGAGTGCTAACTGATTAGATTAGATTAGATTATTCGTAGTGGCTAATCGAGTATTCATCGGCGGCGCGGCGGCAGCACAAAAGCTGATTGCATTCCAATTTCCATCAAATCTCGCCACCCCATGAGAGAGGATTAGCCGATTTTAGGACTTGGGACTGTGAGAATCAAACAAAACAACAGCGCTCAATGCAATGCATGGAACAAGGCAGTTCGGGCAGGACCATCACGTGTCGGTGGTCTCTAGTGGTCAGCGACTCAGGGAGAAAGGACAGATGCATGTGAAGTGAGCCACCACTAGCAGATCAGGCGTCCACACGGCACTGACTGCACCCAGGGTTGTCACCGCCGCGATATTCATTACGAGTACTCCTGCTGCCACTCCTTTACAGACCTTCCGCTCCAATGCAATGCAGTGGCAACATGCGTTGCTTTTATGTTTCCTTTCATACGAGTAGCATCAAACAAACAAAACACTTCCTTCAGCGGTAGAAGTACATCTTTGAATTCTCACACTCTGTAACTAGTAGTAGTTTCCAGTTAGCTACTCCACCTAACACTATAACTTTAGTGCATCATTACCGATAGTTTATATATAGACATGAGGCCCCGTTTAGTTGGCTGGCGAAGTTGGCGCCACCGGAATTTGCTTCCGCTGTAGCGCACTGTAGCATTTCATTTGTATTTGGTAATAATTGTCCAATCGTTGACTAATTAGACTCAAAATGTTCGTCTCGCAAAGTACAACCAAACTGTGTAATTAGTTTTTGATTTCGTCAACATTTAGTACTCCATACATGTACCGCAAGTTTGATGTGACGGGGAATCTTCTTTTTGCATAGTGTCAAAGTTTGGATTTTGAGTAACTAAACAAGAACTGAGACATAAAAATGCAATGCAATGCAATTCCATTCCAAACCGACCGGCGTTTGGATCTTAATGCACTTACCCTACTGTAGAATTTGGCAGTAAGCTGCTGGCCTGCTGATGCTGGACCCGATTCCTTCCCCCACTCACTCCGTAGGATGCATGCAGATGGAGCGGTTGCGTGGTGCGCGCATCCGTGCAGCCGGTCTGCCATATGCACTCACGCTTTTGTCACAGGCCAGGCCAGGCCATAAATAAAGGTAGTAGAGGCAAGAACTGCACTACCATCACATTCCTCTCCCGCGCCCGGACAGCGCAAAAGGCCACCTTTCCTCTTCTTCCTCCGACGAGGCCGGCCGGAGCTTGGGACTGATCGATCGCGGATCATTACACATTAGGTAGGTGTGCGATCTCCATCAATCTCCTTGTCGTCTCCACACATTCCCCGCCGCTGCCTCCATATCTGACAAACCACTCCTGTTCTGCAGCGGGAGGGGTACCGTACCGAGTACCGACACGGTGGTCTGCCACTGCCAGGCGCCACCAGCCTGCAGAGCCAGAGATGGCGTCGGCACTGAGGCTGAGGCTGCTGCTGCTGCTCGCGGTGGCGGCCGCGGCGACCGGGCCGTGCGCCGGCGCCGGCCGCGTCGACCTGTGGCCAATGCCGGCGTCGGTCACCCGCGGCGCGCAGACGCTCCTCGTCAGCAGGGACCTCAAGCTGTCCACGGCCGGGAGCAGCTACGCCGACGGGAAGGGCATCCTCAAGGAGGCGTTCCAGCGGATGGTGGCCGTCGTGGAGCTGGACCATGCCATCAACGGGACCTACTCGCAGGGCGCACCCGTGCTCGCCGGCGTCCGCGTCGCCGTCCGTTCGCCCAACGACGAGGTGCGCACCAACTGACTGAATTCTGATGGAGCTAGCCACGGGCACCCAAGCGCCCGGAGAGGCCTGCTGCTGTCCTGCATTCTCTCTTCTATGCGTCTTGCTGATTGGTCTTCTTCGCTTTCGCAGCTCAACTTCGGGGTGGACGAATCGTACAAGCTGTCTGTGCCTGCCACCGGAAATCCTCTGTATGCCCAGATCGAGGTTAGTGAACGAGCCGCGCTCAAATCTCAATGCCCCGTCATAGCAATTGATAGAATATGCAGTAGAAAGCTGACACGTAACATCATGTCCTGTGCTTAACAACTGTTGTGGCTCATCGGAGGACCGATTATTTGGCAGCAGTGTGCAATGGCACAAATCATTCTTATCACTTCCTGCAATAACTTATTCACCGTAAAAATTGTGACACATAATTGATGCTGTCTGTATCGAAATATTTTGCAGGCTCAAACAGTTTATGGAGCGCTTCATGCCTTGGAGGTAAATGGAAGTGAAACCTATGCGTAAGCTAAAATCCACCCTACTATATTTTCAAGATACCTAACGTGTATTTTCTGTTAATGCAGACATTTAGTCAACTGTGCAACTTTGACTTCAATGCAAACTTGATTGAACTTCATTCAGCTCCATGGACTATCGTGGACGCTCCCAGATTCCCTTACCGAGGGCTCCTTATCGGTAAGCTAGTCTGAATTTTGCTCTATTCGAAAAAGCAGGGCAACCCCCCTCTCCTAGCATAGGCGGCGGTTTAGGATTTGATCCAAGTATGGAAGTGGAACAAATTAGATATGGAAAGAAACGAATTGTGGTCATGGCACTCATGGTTGCAAGATAATACTAAATTCTCTGTTTTAATGTACCAAATTTACAGATACTTCAAGGCACTATCTTCCTGTCCCAGTAATAAAAAGTGTAATCGATTCAATGACCTTCAGTAAGCTGGTACGTTTACGTTTCCACATGCAAAGCAACTTCTTTAATTCTTAGTGCTACTCTTCCCTTTACTGCAAAGTTCTTAAACATAATATCCTTAAATTAGTTCCAGCTCAGCCATGTCATCTGTGTAATCTATCGTCACACAGAATGTTCTTCATTGGCATATCGTGGATGAGCAATCATTTCCGCTTCAAATACCTTCCTACCCAAAATTATGGAATGGTGCATACTCATATTCGGAGAGATATACATTTGATGATGCAATCGACATTGTACAGTGAGTTCTGCTTTTGTCATCGTACTGGAATTATATCTCAGCAGACATTTGACACCTAGACCTAGACTTTTAAGTGCTAAACAAAATATGCCAGCAAAACTGCGAAAAAAGCAACGTTACTATAGTCTGAAAAGGAAACTCAAAAAGAATTTCGAATATTCATCCTTTGATTAGACTCAACTGTAGAGATTACTTATCTATGCTGCTGGATTTCCCCAAGTTAAGATGACTTATCAGGGATTCACAGGTATGCTGAAAAACGAGGTGTGAATGTCTTGGCTGAGATTGATGTACCTGGCCATGCTCTCTCATGGTAATACATTTAATTCTGTGCAATATCACTCTTCTCTAGAAAATGGATACAGAATTTGGAAAATACAAAAATTATTTTGTTGTGTTTATCATCCGCATACTCGCATTATATTTTTAGTATGTAGAAAGTATATTTTCTACAGATGAAATAATATAATCATATTTAAATTTAACATACCTAATAATTATTAAATTTTGGTGTACTTCTCTTGTTTCAGGGGTGTAGGATATCCATCATTGTGGCCATCAGCTGCATGCAAAGAACCGCTTGATGTCAGCAATGATTTTACATTTCAAGTGATTGATGGAATTCTTTCAGGTTGTTCTCTGTCAAAATGAATTACTCTAGATTTAGGCTCCCATTCTACACTTGAAAGACAACTAATATACACCTTCATGGACCTCATGGTTTTGTCGCAAAATAGAATGAAATAACACTTTATACTAAAGTTCGGCAACTAAAAAGATGCTTCTATGGCCAGAATAATAAGTCAAATCATTGGAGGAAAGAACATATGGAGTATAATCAATGGTACTACCTTTGTTTCCTTTTCAGATTTCAGCAAGATTTTTAAGTTCAAGTTTGTCCATTTGGGGGGAGATGAAGTAAACACAAGTAAGCTTGCAGAAATCTGTACAGTACAGCTGATTTATGTATGTTATAATCTATTCATTCTTTATTATGATGTCAGGTTGCTGGACTACCACTCGACACATTAAGTCATGGTAAGTAATTATCTTATAATATAGCAAAAATAACAGGAAAT